ATAAGGGCACACGGGCCTTGCTCCATCTGTGGGATATAACCACATGTTTAAAGCCACCTCTTGTCACAACGGGACACGTCACACTGATGAAGTTAAGCTTGTGCTCAGGTGTTTCACCGAATCAGCACTTAGCATTGTAAGGAAGAGTCCTCTTTGTCCCAAATGTATGAACTCCAGGGTCCCATTTGTGGGAGAAAATAACGCCCATCTTTCCATCGTGACAAACTAAGAACAGGGTTGCTGAGAACAGCAGCATCACACTGTTGTGCTTGGAGAATAATTTCCAAAGCTATCGTGATTCCGTAATACTTTTCTGTCAGTAGTGCCCTTCAGCGTGCTCAGGGCCTCACTGGCCCTCTCTTGTGTAAATACACAGAAAGATTGTCCTCACTTCAAAGATTTGAAGCTAGGAAATGGTTACACAGTGTTCAAAATCAGGTCGTTACCTTTGAATTTGCAAACACGCTACAGAGAGTTCTCAAACAAACCAACAGAGGCCATTTCTGGGAGCAGAAATATTAGTCAACCTCAGGAGGTTAAGCCTAGGAGGTGACAGGGTCAGTATGATGGCAAAAAAGATCCGCCGTAGCTGGGAGATACTAAATCCAGATGTCAGGCGGGCTCCATCCCAAGGAAGAGGGACAATCTGCACGTAGCGTTCAAGGGAAAGGGATTTTATAACACTACTGCTGAGCCCGAGATGAGGGTGGTGTATCTGATTTTCTCCAACTAGGAAACAAGCAACAGAGATGTGAGAAAAGGTTTCCTGCTTCTGTTGGTTTCTGTGTGTGTGCTCTAGGTGAGTTTCAGGGGGCTGCCCTTTGCAGCGTATCCTTCTCGAGCCCTGAAATATTATACAAACCTACTCTAACATTAGCTCAGTGGAGAAAAAATAGGCCATCTCTTCAGATCGATGTGAATGTAAAAAGTATATTCAGCACCAGCAGTTTATGAAGGAAAACAGCCAGCCGCAAGCTCATAGGACTCTCAGAATCTCATTTTGTGTTGACAGACCCCAGCACCAAAAATGTATCAATTGGCTCAGACCAAGGCACAAACAGTTCCTAACCAAATGACCCTCTGATTAATATTTTAACTGCTCTTATAAAAAAAAGCTCGAAGGCCATGAACCATAAAATTCTCAAGATGGTCCTTGACCCAGCACTTTGGCCGTGATTTTGCATTACTCTAGGACGTTTTGTCAGGTAACGCCATAATGCAGACACACCATGGAAACGGGTGGGAAAGTCACACTGAGGACCCATTTTATTCAGACATCTTTGCATGGCATACTCTTTTCTCAGCTTTCCCTCTCCTTCCTTATCTCTTCCTGCTCAGCTCTGCAATGCTGGGAAAGTCGCTCCCAGGCACGAGCCCACACGGGGAGCAGCCGAGGGTGGGAAGAAGACACAGAGCCTGCGGCAGTGCCTAGCAGTGGCCAACAAGGTCCGAAAAAGGAGAGCTGGGGCACAGGGTAGACCAGGGTTTCTCTAAAGGAAACAAAGGCTTTGGCAAGAGTTTGTGCTTGTTCCTTTCATTCCACCTCCAGGAAATGAGCTGTCTGCAGATCAGAATTAAAGCGACATAATTTTCTGCATTTCAGAGTATTCACCTTCAAGTTGGTCAAGCCCTTTTGCAAAGCCAGGGCCGTCCACCCTCCTCCCTGCAACAGAGTACTCCTGAGTTACACGTGTGTCTCAGACTCAGGTCACCTACCTGTTCGTCACCCGAGTTTCAAAAACTTTTAGCTGAAAAGACCTCCTGAGAAAGTTCAGGGACCTGGGCAGCCATGATACCTGACTCCAAGTGCTGAGAGCTAAAAACCCCAACATTGTAAGCCAATAAACCGACACTTATCGAAAGAGGCTTTGATACATTTTATTAACCAGACAAGGTGCAGCCCCCCTAGCCTGATACACAGATTTGTTTGGTATTACAGTCCTGACAGATTTTGCAAACATAGAAGATGTTTATGCTGCATAGGGAACAACCAACTTCAAATGGTAATTAGAAGGAATATTTTCAACCATCTTGAGACCTCAAGTCATAAGCAAATAAAACTCCAATCAGAATGACAAAGAAGTGCAGAAGCACCCTTCAGCCTTGCGTTGCCATGGACCTCCATGTTCCAAGGGCATGCTCTCAGTTCCTCTGAGCTCCCTGTCTGCGACCTGACCAAGTCACAAAGTGGAAAGGAAACTGATAAACGTTTTCATTATCAGTGGAAGGCAGAGATAACATTATACATAAAAAGTACCATGCTTTTGTTTTAATAAAATGCCACATGTATTCCAGTTATAAAGTGAGGGAGCATATGGGTCCTAAACACCCAAAACACTTCCCTGCAGGGACAGTGAGCTGAAAACACCATCCACAGAACACAGCGATCATCCCAAAACTCCCTGTAACACCAGGATGAGGAAAAGTATTTTGGACAACTGGGTGAATGACAGGAATGAAAGCTAGCAGTAGCAGAACCTTCAAAGTATTTTCCTGTGGCACAGTGCAATTCTTCACAAGCAAGTCCCTCCTCTACACGCTGCCATTGGCACACATTCAGCCGTGAAAATCTTGCGGACAAATAAAACTGTAGGAGCAGCCACCGTGGGTGGCAATGGCAGAGCACAGAGCACAAGATCTGACATGAGCCTTAAATAAACAATTATATAAAGGCATAAACTTCCCTTCCAATAATCACACCCCTTTCCGGAAAGGGGTTTTGGGGAGCATGAAAACAGAAGAATTTGTCTCCCAGGTCTTCTTAGCCAGCCTGGGACCCTTCTGCTGCCACAGAGAAACAGAAAGAAGGATCTTTCTGCCTTCCAAAGTATGAGGAAATCTGGATGAACCCAAGAACCCCTCTGGTCCTCAATAAAGCCAAATGTGTTCTGGAATTGAACTTATTGCTGCTACAAGAGAGCTTTTTCTAGGCCCACATGTGGCCATCACCAGATTGCAATGGCTTAGCCATAGTCACCAGGAGAGCCTTTGGGCTACGAGACAGGCTTGAGACAAAGACCTTGAACTATTTTAGTAAAATCAGTACAGCTGATTGCCCCACTCTTCAGCTTTGTGTGCACGGGATGCAAAGACAAAAGTGAATCATACAGGTGAAGGTGCAGAGCTACACAGATTTGATCATAAGAGGAAACAAGTAGATAGATGGAGCTGGTCATCTCTGAGTTGTCTTCATCATTGCTTTGTTCCAACTGGCCGCTCAAGGGATCACAGGAACGTCATGACTGTTCTGTTCTTGCCGATCTGCCAGGGCTCCAGTGGGTAAAAGCGGATGACAATCCTTTTTGGGTATAAGAGCAAAAGTGAAGTGGACAGGAAACATTATTTTACTATTAAATATTATCCCTGCCCAGTTTGCAACAAGGTAGAAGATCTGCACTAAGCTCTTGCTGGCTCACACTTCACGGTGTTAATTTAACAGAGGCAAAAATAAGCTGTGTATGGGCAGGGTACAGACAGGTGCCAGACTTCATCCACGCAAACTGAAAAGCAGACTGAATTTCAACACTGTTTTTATGAGATACTTGTCCATTTCAGAAGAACCCAAGCAGCTCATAATCTTGTCAGGTATTTACCCTGACAGCACCAAAAGGCAGGGAAATGCTATTACTCTTCTTGGGGAAAAGGGGCACGGAGGGACATGGCTTACCTTCAGGAACAGCCTTGTTTCAGCATTTGGCATGGTGACCCCACTGTGAAGCTCTACCAATTCCCACCGGGTTTTGCACCAATTACACCAGCTGGAACTACTCATCTTCCAAGAACAATCGTTCTCAGACTGTTCAATGAGTGCAAACCAGTCCGTGGTTTTATCTGGACCTCAACCATGTGTCTGGGATTCAGCATCCAAGAGCACTTAATGTTTGCGATCTAGTCTTGGATCTACGTTACACCTTAATCTCATGGAGGACCTGAAAACCTACGTCGTCATCATCACCGAACATCTTCCTGTACTTCTGTTTGCTGTGTTTCATACATTCATGCAAGACATAAACCCGACAGAAGAGGTGCTCTCCCTCTCCCTGCCCCCAGGGGCAGGCACGGAGTCCTCGCCCCCCAGGGCGACGGAGGTGCCGAGGCAGAGCCCCCCCTCCCCGGGCCGGGCCCGCACTCACCGCTCGGGGCCGAGGCCCAGCTGCGCCGTCAGGAAGTCGAAGAAGCGGGCGCCGTGCCGC